CTCCCGCATGCCAGAGCGGAAGAGCCCACGGAAGAAGCCGCAGTGCTCCACCAGCAGCGACTGCTCAGCCTGGAAGAGTTGACCGTCCACCCACACCTGCACAGGGATCTCGGGACCCGGGGACATGATGAGCCAGAAGGGCGGAGGCTGTTGCCGCTGGGGGGCCTAGATTTGCCTGGGGCCACTGACTCTGGGGCTACCCCGGGGCCGGGAGGAAAAAAAACTTCCCTGGGGGCTATAAATACCTTCCTGACTAAAGATAGGATGGCTCATGTGATGTAGCCCGCAGGCTTGGATGGCCGCCTGGCCCAGAGGACATCTGGACACCTGTGTGGTCACTCTGTTGATAGACTAGTGACAAGGGCCAGTGAAATGGCCCAACAGGTTCTTTCCTACAAGCCTGTTTGACCTGGGTTCAACCTGGAACCTACAGAAAGCTGAAAGGAGAAAACCTGCTTCACAAAGTTGCGCTTTGACTTCTGGATTCGCACTATGGCATGCATCCCACCTCCACAGAGACTCAGTTCCTTTTTTCTTTTCTTTTCTTTTTTTCTTTAAAGAAATAGTAACAATACTAACCATATACTGAATAGTCACTGCATGCTGGGCCCTGTCAGGCCCTCTTGTAAAGATAATCCATTTAACTGGCACCATCCCAAGCTGTGTTCCCACAGACAAAGCATGTACCTCGGCTCTGTTCATTTTTTTTTGATAGAGGGGCTGGAGAGATGGCTCAGTGGCTAAGAGCACTTCAAGAGGACCTGGGTTCAATTCCCAGCACCTACATGGCAGTTTACAACTGTATGTAACTCTAATTCTGGGGATCCACCAACCTCACACAGACACAAATGCAGGCAAAACACCAATTCATATAAAATAAATGAAAATTTAAAAATTGGGATCAATAGAAACAGCTATTGACGGTATGGGGACAAATTCCGTAAGGTGTTCTGAATGAAGTCTGGAGACTTCACTTGACTTGTTCAAGGTCATTCAGCTGGGGACAAGAGTTCATCAGCTCAAAATGGTGGGGCAGGCAGATTGAAGAGAGACTAAGTGGAGGACTATCAGGCCAGGATTCTGAAGTGTACCTTTGCCCAAGCTTGCAGTGTGGCCTAGACAGTCCCCCCACTCAGGTTTTGCCTGCTTGTATGTAGGTGTATCACATGCATGCAATGCCCTTGGATGCCAGAAGAGGATCTCAAATGGCTTGGAACTGGGACCAGGAACACAGACAGTTGAGAGTCACCATGTAGACGTGGGTATCAAGCCCCCATCCTCTGGACGAGGAGCAAGTGCTGGCGCTTACTGCCGAGCAGTCTCTGCATTTCTAAATCTCTTTTCAAGCCCTTTTCCTTCTGTATAAGAGATCATCTAGTAACCCCTATAGGCTGAAGCCACCCCTCACTTAGAAGTGCGAAGCTAGTGTTTGGTCCTCATTTGCCTGACCCTCTATGGAGCTGTCATCTTTGGTGAAGAAAAGTATAGGTGCTGGGAAGATGGTATACCCGTGGATGAGAAAGTCGTCTTCATACAATAACTTAATTTTTTTTTCTTTTCAAGACTGGGTTTCTCTGTGTAACAGTCCGAGCTGTACTGGAACTAACTTTTGTAGACCAGGCTGGTCTTGAACTCACAGAGATCCGCCTGCCTCTGCCTCCAAAGTGCTGGGATTAAAGGCATGTGTCACCACCGACTAGCTAAAATAACTTAAATTTAAGCTACCCTTAAACTGCTTTGTGATAAACACTTTGACTCCTAATCCTTGCAACACTCATGAGTGGTTACTATGGCCCTACCCCCAAAACCGTGCCGAATACACAAATATCCATTACTTTTTACAGCAACACTATGAGCTGGATATCTTTGATAGACAGGGTCTGATGTATCTTGGGCTGGTTTCATACTTGCCATGCAGTGAGGGTGACCCTGAATTTCTGACCCTCCAACTTCTACCTCCCAAGTGCTGGGATTGCAGGCATGTGCCTCGTTTATGTAGTGCTGTGCTGGGGGCTGAACCCAGAGCTTTGTGCCTGCCGAGCAAAGACCCTGCTTACTGAGTTGTAACCCAGCCCTGAACTAGATTCTATCGATGGCCCCATTTGATGGATATGGAGACCAAAAGCAGAGGTTTATCCCATAAGCAACAAGTGACAGATTTAGGGCCAGAATGCAATCAGTTTGACTCTAGTGTCTGTGCCCTTAATCTTGCTGCTCTGTTGCCTCCTGAGCTAATGAGAGGCAGTGGAAGGAACTTCAAACTCACTAATTCCCATGAGGACCTGGAACAAAGTGAGAAAGAGCCCTGGCCAGGATCTTGCAGCTTGGGACGGACAGCCCCAGGCCTCCTGCAGCCCAGCCCATGGCACCTTTCCAACTGTACACGACTTTTCTAGATCTAATACTAGGTCCCAAAATGTCAGATGAAAAGGAGTTTGATGATTGCCTTCTCTTACCACTACATTTTGTCGGCCAGGAAGCTGAGGCCCAGACTTTGAGGGGATGGTATATGCCCTTTGGGAGATGTTCGGCTTTGGTCCTCCCTTGGGAAGACAGAACAGCTATCCCTTACCAGAAAGGAAGTAGGAGGGCAGGAAACCTCCCCTCCCCTTTAGGACACAGACACAGAACATGTAGCTGAATCTGCAGACTCAAAGAAAATGTGTCTCTATTAAGGCACTCTCTAGTTCACCCCATCCAAACAGTTCAGGGGTGTGGGGACTACTTGTGTGAGCCTGGGAAGTCAGAGGCCTCATAGACACTGCCAGAAATATCTCAGATGCTCTGCCCCAGGGACTAGGAAGGAAGAGGGGAAGAAGATGGGGGTTGGGTGGGCAGAAGTCCCATGAGTACTGTCCCAGGCCCTCTGCCAGTATCTCTCCTCTGAGACCAGACATTGGCTAGAAGGGTCTAGAATGCTTCCAGCAGTAGGCATGACAACCCCTTCTTGGAGACAAGTGAACGCTGTAGGGTCAGATCTTTGCCCATATTCTTGTGAGGCCTTAGTGTCAGGGAGAGATTGTCTCGGGGGCTTGCAGATGAGGGGGCTGCTTTTCCTCAGTTGTGAATGACAGTATAGGACTTGACAGGCTCTGTATATTGGCCCGATAGCCTACTGCCCACCTACCCTGGGTCTGTCTCTTCACCTACGTAGCCCTGCCTCAGAAAGGAGTGAAGCTAGAGAAGGCAGGCTGTCAGGAGCCCAGGTCTGCTGCAGAGTTGCCCTCAGCTAGTCTGCTCCAGACACCTGGTAGTAGCCAAACAGAGCCAAATAGAATCATCACAGGCCTCTCCCAAAGCTTAGTAGGCAAAATTTACAAAACTCATCCAGACCGAATAAAGCTTCTCCTCCAACCCATTTTATCCCAAGTCAAGACCTCTTGAGTGGGTGGGGGGTCATACACACACCCTGTTTCCACCTTCCACAGCCTGATGATGGGGAGGGGTCCAACTAAGGTGGAGACTGTGTTCTGATTCTGAGCTGAGGCTCTGCCCTTTGGTCCAACCCTCGGGGCCCCAGCTGGTGTTGTGTGCAGCTGGGAGTTTCCTCCTCCCAGATCCTGAGTGGCCCTCTGGGAGATAGAGAGGACAAGGAACTGTCTTGGCTGTGGGCAGCCCACAGAGTTCCCAGGCCCTGCCTGACCCCTGCCCGACCTCTAGCAAACCCCCTCTCCACTTTGCACCCCCCACACTAAGGGAGGTGGGGGTGGGGAGGAAAGGCAGGCATCAGGCTCTGAGCCTTGAAGGAGCACAGACCCAGACCTTAGTCGTATCTGCAGCTGCACAGTCAGCATCCAGTAGAGACTCTCTTTTTATTTAATTAAAACTTTTAAAAGAGTTATTTATTTAATTCTTATGTATGAAAGTCTTGCCTACATGTATGTATGTGCACCATGACTGCCTGGTGCCAGAAGGTGTCAAATCGCCTGGGATTGGTGTTAGAAATGGTTGTGAGCCACCAGGTGAGTGATGGGAACCAAATCTGGGGCCCGTGCAAGAGCAATAGGTGTTCTTAATTGCCGAGTCATCTCTCCAGCAGGGTCTATTCCGTGGAATCCTGAGCTCCAACCTACTGAAATTCCCAGCAGGCTGAGAGAAATCCAGTTTCTGTTCCAGAAGAGCTTTATCTGATGAAGGAGACATAACTTCTGTCTTTGGAGAAAACAACCCCTGTCCACCCCCTGATCTGATGGTGGAGCCTTTTTTCAGTCGTGGTGAAGACAGTCCGTAGGGCAGGGAGTACCTTGCAGCTCCTGGCATTGGGAAAAGGATGAACACGTTACTAGGAGTCAAGATTCTTGCCTGGCATCTGAAGCTGTGTGACCACCAATTTGCCAAAGCTACTGAGCCTCTCCAGGCCTCAATTCCACGCCTGCAAACTGGGGTTTTCAACTGACTTCCAAGGTTCTACTCAGTTTTGATACGGTGATAAACCATAGAACAACCATAGAAAGCATGTGTTGTGGCCCGGGAGAAGCAATGACATCACAGAGCTCCCCGAAGCTTAGCTTTATGTGCAATTAATTGCTCATGGGTATCTTGGCATCAGGAAAGACAAGTCCTCTATTCTCACCTGTTCATCCCCTACCTGTTTTGTGCATCTATTGAGCACTGACTGCATGCCCATCGCTGGGTCCAACAACACAACCTCCACATTTGGGTATCTGAAGTCCTCTATAACAGTTTTGATTGAGAGAACTAGAGAAGAAGATGAGCTACTTGACCAAACAGAATAACCTTGCTCTTGAGTAAAGAATCGTTGACCTCTTGGCAGGTGGTGAAGAGGTATGTGCTGTTAACAGAGAATAGAAGGGATTATTGATAGTTTTATGGGTCATGGGCCAAGTTCTAGGTTCTAGTTCTAGGTTCTATTCACTTTCATGCTATCTCATCTAACCTTTAATATTATATCAATTTTAAAGATGAGGAACTGAGATCAGGGAGATTAAAGTAGCCTATTGTAGGGTCTGGCAGCATGTGGCATACTCCCAAGGCCTTTCCAGACTGGGTCAGTGTGTCAGAATGCTAGGCAAGCAACTAACAAAGCAGGGGACAGAGGCCAGGCAAAAGAACTGGTTAAAGAGGCCCTGTTTCCTTCCTAAGCCTTGGACTTTAAACTTTAAACA